GGAACAGCACGGCCTCACTGGGGTTCCTTGTGGGGAACTGGGTCAGACTGGGCAGCACGGGGTGAACGGGACACAGCTTCAGCTACACAGGGTGGAGGTTACAGAGCCTGTGCTGTCACCCTCTGCTCCCTGCAGCACCACAGGAAGGCCAGGATGGGTGGGCCTGTTTGGTCTTAGCAAAGCAGGGCTGAAATGGGGTTCCATGGTCAGGCCTTCCCAGCCAGTGTCAGCTGTGGGCAGAGCTGAGTCTGAAGGCTGTGCTGTGGCACCTGTGGGAAGGGGTGGGACTGTCACCAAACTAATCAGCTCTGGCCAAATAACTCTGGTCCCTCGTTAGCTGGGGGGTGGTGCTGGGGGGGGTGTGGGGAGGAACAGCCCAGTGCTGAGTTGGGCACCAAGTTCTGTCGCCTCTGCCTGAACCACCTTTGCCTTGCCCTGGCAGCCCAGCCCACCCCTGCTCCCTGACCCCCCTCTTTGGTTTTCCAAGCCCACGGGTTCCTCTCCCAGCCCTGAGCTCTGCACTCTCAGGGTCTGGCAGCTGCCCCTCTCAGCTCCTAAAATCCCCTCTGCAAACCAACCCCACCTCTGTGCTAACCTCTTGTTCCCAGAGATCCGGTGGGTGGGGGACTCTGGATTGCCATTCCAGAGTGCTTTTTGTGCCCAGTCCTGGTTAAGATACCTGAAGAACTTGATGGCGTTTGAACACTGGCTTTATTATTTATTTTATTTTTTAGCAATCTTGCTAGGGTGGCTAATCAACTAATTGATTTAATTCATTAGTATATTAATTTCTATTGCTTTCTTCCTTTCAAATGCTGCCCCTCAGCCCGTCTGGCATGTTTGATTATGACTTTGAGTAAGTTTGACTTGAATTAGTACTTGTGCTGTGTTGTTAGTGTGTAGACACCAATGTGCCTTTTGAGACCTCGCTAACCCCTAGTTTATCTGTTTAATTGTAGGTATGTATATTAGGTTAGGCTGGGAAGTTTTTTTTAAAAACAGAAAAGCGTGATGGAGGTAACATTTTATTTAATAACTTCAGCAAAAATTAAATTAACTTCACTCTTCTTTACCTTTCTGTTTCATATTTAAATAGATAAAACTTTTTAACTTTAAAACTTAGTTTAAAAACTGATTCTTCTGGCTTTGCTGCTTAAGGAGATTAGTATAGACTTCGATATTTCCTTCTGGAAAAATGTACTAAGCTCAATACCTTTGGCTCATATAATCCCTGTCATCCTAACTCCTCTCTCTATCCAAGTAAATAACCCTCACACTATGTCTGGATAATTACCTGTGGCATAGTTACACCCCTGACAGATTAAATTAGCATAGAGCATGCATAGTTCCCCCCTTCACCTGCCTAACTGCCCTGTGATTGATTGTGCCCCTTGATTAACTCTGTCTGGGAGTGGATGGAATCTGCTTTTTGGCAAATAATAACGGCTCCACTCTCCTGCTGCTCTCATTCCCAGTAATCCTGGGACAGCGCCCTGGCTCAGCCAGTTGGGAATGGATGGATTAACCGTAGTCTCTGTCGTAGCTGTGCCCTGTGCAGTAGCTCTGGTGTCGGGTCAGGTATTGACATGGACATTTCTCTTGTCTCTCCAACCACAGGATTGATCTCAAGTTAAACAAAAAGCCAAGAGCCGTAAGTATCTGTGCTCTGTCCGTGTTTTCATTGCTCACTCTACACCTGAGGGGCTGCCTGACTCCTAAGCTTAAAAAACCCTCCCTGTGCTGTCATTTAAGTTCTTGTTTTCGTGGTTGAGGAGTGTCACAGTGTGAGATCAGGACTGTCCTGTGGCTGTAACAGCAGCTGAGCCCAGCTGGGCTGTTCTGAGGTGGGGTCACAGGTAACTCCTGTGCACTTCTGGAAAAAGCTGGTTTGCACCCTGTTACCTTGTCATTATCTGGAGCATCGAAAGCATCTGGTTTGAGTTGATGCTCGGGGTTGGAAGGCTCCATCCTTTTCAATGTTTAGCTACAAGAAAAAAAAAATCTGGTTTGCCTGCAACTAATGGTGTGTAAGATGAGAGAGGACTGAGCTCCCCCAAGTCCATGAGCAGAATCAGAGGTGGGAAGGTGTTAACGTGCCTGTGCTGTCCTTTCTCTGCAGGACTACTAGAGCCATGAGTGCTGATGCTCCTAGAATTTTGGTCTGTGACTCCCCACTGAGAAGCCCTGAAGCAGGATGGCAGCTGCAGCTGGAGTGACTCACTCTGAGGGACTTGGATGGGGGGAGGAAATCCTGGACCATGTACTTTGCATCATTTTTAAATCACCTGAGTTGCAGGAAGACTAAGGTGGTGTAGGTAGTAGTAGTAGTCCTGAATTCCTGACTGTTCTGTGCTTACACCTTGGTCAGGAACTTGCTGAAATGGCTGATGCTGCTGCCCCCCTGCCACCTGCAGACCCACAGAGAGGCATTTCCTTTTCCACTGGAACTGGGGTAGAATTCAGTGTGTCCCATCCATGTTGTGAGACTTAGATTACTTTTGTTGCTGATATTTAGCTTTGTAGGTTTGGTTTGGTTTTTTGTTAGTTTTATTGTGGTTTTTTTAAAGCCAAAGTGTATAGTTAAAAGTCGACTTTGAGTTTCTTTGTTTAATCTGTGTAGTGGAAGGTTCTTCATTTTGTGGAGCAGCTTGTTTGATTCTTACTCAAGCAGAGAAGGTGGTTTAACCCTTTTCTCTTTCATTTTAAACACCATCTCCCAAGATTCCACAGTGATTTAGGTGCAGGAAGGGCCAGAGCTCAGAGCCAACTTGCTCTTTGCTGTCACTGACTTTGGGTGGATTCTCTTTTTAATACAAACTTCTGTCATTTGTACATAAACAATAAAAGTTCCATGTTTGTCTCTTCCCATGGTTCGTTCAGTCCAAACTTTGACTCCTGGTGCTTTTTACTGTCCACCTTCTTTATGAGGACTTTACTGGAATTCTTCCCCGTTGGCACGGGAGCAGTTCCTTGTCCCGTGGCCCCCGGGAGGTTCCCTTGGTGCTTTCTCTCCTGGGGTGGCTGTGACTGAGGAGTGGCTGTGGCTGCAGGGAGTGCCAGGCTCCAACCTCCAGCTGTGCAAGGCAGGACTGGGATGTCTGTGGGTTCTGCTGCTGCTGGCAGATTGCCCGTGGATCAGGGATGAGCTGGTGGGATTGTCCCTGGAGCAGCACAGAGGGGTGAGGGCCAGGTGCTGCTCACAGCCCCCGGGGTCAGGACCTCGGTGCTGCTGTGGAACTCAGCTTTGCTTTGCTCAGGGTGGGGAGCTGCTGTTGGAAGTGGTGCTGCTGCATGTTTGTGTAACCCCTGCTGATGGGGAGAGCCTTGGGAAAGGGGCCTTGGGACAGGGGTGTCACTGAGCCCTCAGAGTGTGTGTGGCCCTTGAAACAACCAAGGGTTCATCCATTCTGCTGCACCTCTGATCCCCTGGGGTCGTTCTCAGCTCCCTCCAGGCACCCCAGTCCGTGCAGGGCAGGACCTGAGTGAAGGTGGAGGCACAGCAGCAGAGTTCTCCCTCGAGCTGGATCTGGTCCAGGATCAAGACAGCTCTGTGTTTGTTCCTGGAGGGAGCTGGTTTATCCCTCAGGGAGCCGTGTCTCTGCTCAGGGACTGGTTTATCCCTCAGGGAGCTGTGTCTCTGCTCAGGGACTGGCTTATCCCACAGGGAGCTGTGTCTCTGCTCAGGGATTGGCTTATCCCACAGGGAGCTGTGTCTCTGCTCAGGAGGGGCTTATCCCACAGGGAGTGTGTCTGGTCAGGGGCTGGTTTATCCCACAGGGACCTGCTCTCTGTGCTTGGGGCTGGTGGCTGCTTCTCCACAGCGGGGAGTGGGGGGGGTTGGGGTGGAGCAGCTTAAAGGCCAAGCTGCAAAGCCGGCCTACTTCTGTGTGTTTTAAATTACAGAGGTTAAATACAGGGGGGTGGAAGATCTGGGAAACAGGCCTTGCTGCTCTACAGTTTTGGAAAAGAGAACTCAGCTGATGGTTTTGATTCCCTGCCCTCGGTACAAAAGCAGGCATGGCTGAAGTCTCTGCTGCACCTCTGACCTTGAGGAAAGCTGACAGGCTTTTTTGGGCAGAACATTTTTGAGAAGGGCTGGTGTAGCTCGGAGCCCTGTGTGTGGGCGGGCTGTGTGACAGGGTCAGACAGCTCCACGTTCCCTGTGACACGTGGGGGTGCTGCAGGGACAAGGGGGAAACGCAGCCAGTCCTGCCTCCGGCCGTGTTTGTCACCAAAGGAGGGGACAGCCTGTTCTGCTGAGGCCCCTGTCTGATGGCAGCAGCCTGGGGGGAGCACATTGATTAGAAAGCAAAATGGCAAACACTTGGTTCAGTCAAAGGCACAGCTGTTCCCTGCCAGGTCCTGCCACTCAGCGGCCGCCCGCTGACTCTGGCACTTGTGCCTAAAACCTCCATTTGATTTCTGAAGATTTCTGTTTTCCTTCCTAAAGAGCCTGAGTGACTAAAGACCCCCCGGATGGCCAGTGCCTGGGCACAGGATTCAGAGCTGCACAGGCTTTACCCAGATGCTCACAAAAGCCAAAAATAGAGGTTAGAAATAAATTCCAAGTCCTTTGCTTGTGAAAGATGGAACCTGAGCACAGAAAACAAGGATTGCAGAGCAGCCACTGTCCTTATGGCCCCCAAAGGTGGAGCAGGGAAACGCTAATCCCTGTGCAGCCTCGTCACCAAGAGGATTAGGCAGGAGTTCATCTGGGCCGAGGGTTGTCACCCGGCAGGACAGGAGGCAGCGCATGGCTGGGTAAGGGGGCAGAGGGGAGGGGGCCCGGGGGTCCCTTCCGAGCGCGTGTCCCATGGGAGGGGATCTGGCCCCACAGATGCTGAGGCCCCCTCTCGTTGTCCTGGCAGGTGGAGAGCCGGGACAGGCACTGGCGTGTGGTGGCACCGCACGGCTGCCACACAACCCTCCACTGCACAGAGCGAGGCGTCGGCTCCGGGCCTGCAGGGCCGTGCCCTCTGTGTCCTGCTCCTGGGGGTGCCATGGGCCGGCAGCGCAGCCCCCCGGGGCCGTGGTGGGGGCGGCTCCTGCGCTCCGGGTGCTGGTGGCTGCTGTGGCTGTGTGGGACGGTGCTGCGGGGGCTGCGCTGGCTCTGGAGGCTCACGTGGGTCGGTACCGCGGGGCCCTTCCCAGGGACCCCCACGCGCCTGTGTCAGCTCTAACGTGGCGTGTTCGGGGGGCCGGAGGCCTGCTGGGCTGCAGCCTCTGTACCAGTGGTGCTGGGGACTGTGGTTTGGTGCAACTGGGGCAGCTGGGGGGTGTCACCATGTCACCGTGTCACCACATCACCACGTCACCACGCCATCCGGTAGCACAGCTGCGGGATTGGGGCCCTTGATCTGCAGGGGCTGGCTCTTGGCTCAAGGCACTGTATGGTTCTGCCCACCAAGAGCCCTGGGCCATGGGGACATCACTCCAGGGTCTGCACTCTGCAGAGCAGATGTGAGCCGTTCCCTTCCCCAGGTCCTGCTGATCTGCTACAAGAGCTGCTGGGACAGCGCCTTCCAGGTCACGGAGGAGGTAAATCCCCCAATGTGCCCCCCACCACAGGGACTGTGCCGTTTGCCAACTCTTGGGACATGGCCGAGCCCGGTGACACAGTTCATTGAGTGGCACCAGGGGAGTTCCCCTGGCAGGGTCAGTGCCAGAGGCCATCCAGGTTTGGCTGCCCATGGATGTGTCAGTCCCCAATGTCCGTGTTGACTTCCAGCTCGGAACATCGCTGCAGCTGAGGCTGGAGGGGAGCGAGGAGGAGGAGGAGGAGAATGGGAGCTCCGATTCTGTGCTGGAGCCTGGGCAGCCAGGTGAGTCCCCAGCCTGGGGATGTCCCTGGGGCAGAGGCTGGGGCTGGCAGGTGTCAGAGGGTGCTGGTGGCAGCTGAGCTGTGGTGCCGGGGCAGTGGCGCAGTGGCAGGGGCACGGGGATGCCAGTGAGGCCGTGCTGGAGAGGCTGGAGGGGCTGGAGGCCGACGTCCGCTTCCTCTGCACGGAGCTGGGGGCAGAGAAGCTGCTGTGGAGTAGCCGGTTCCTGGAGCTGCTGCGGGAACAACAAAGCCTTCGCCAGCGGGTGAGTGCCCCGTGGGGTCCCAGCCCCCCCAGCCCCCTCTGGCACCCCAGCCCGTCACACCCTGTCCCAGCTGCAGGAGCTGCCATGGCAATGGAACCGCAGCGACAGCCCCGAGCTGCTGGGGGAAGTGGAGGATCAAAGTGCCAGTGGGAGCGAGGGAGAGAGCCCAGAAGGTACAGCTGGGGACTGGAGGGGGCATGGGGAGCAGGGACCTGCCACCAGAGCTGGGGATGGGGACACGTGGGGAGCAGGGGAGCCCACTAGTTCCCCACCTGGGCATTGGGTGGCACTGGGGTGCCCTGGGGGATATTTGGGAGCAGGGGGCCAGGAAAAGCTCCCAGTTCTCTGCATGACTTCCCACCAGGAGCCTGGCTCGGTGCTCCCACACTCAGCAGAGCTCTGGCCATCACATCCCCTCTCGCCTCTCTGCTCTCTCCCAGGACACCAGTGGACAGAGCCACTGTGGCAACCACGCAGCACCACCCAGCCTGATGGCAGGAAACATAAGTGAAGGTGTGAGCAGGGCATCAGCGAGTCACCAAGGAGCCACACGTCCCTCCCTGCCCAGGCTGCTCAGGACACAGGCCAGGATGGTGCAGTCCCAGCTGTGTCGCCGTGTCCCTGTATGTGCCTCCACCCATCGGTGCCAGCCAGGCCTGGCCCCATCCAGCAGAACTGCAGCCATTCCTTAGGAGCAGGAACCAGCCGAGGGGCAGGTCGGGGTGAGCTGCTGGCCCTGGGGCTGCCCCAGGAGGAGTCACAGCCACCCCCTGCCCAAAGCCACCCCAGGGCTGACTGTGCCCTGGTGGGGCTGGCTCTGGTGGAGCCCGCTGAAGAGCATCCTCCTGATCTACTGCACCTTGTTGGGAGGTTCCAGGAACAAGAAGTCTGCTCACCAGTGGCCACAGACACTTTGCACAAGCTGGAGCTGCTGCAGCATGGATTGCAAAACTCACCCCTTGACTTCCTCGTGGGCCAGACCCGGCCCCTCCGTCAGCAGCTCTGCTCGTGCTGCAGGGCTGGGCCAGCTCTGGTGACAGCGGCTCCCCCCTCATCCCCCAGCTGATGAGCCCTGGGAGCTCTGGTCCCGTTTGGAGCAGGGCTGAGGGGCCTCCCCTTGCCCAGGAGTGGCCGAGCACAGAGGGGCTGTGTCCTGCACCCCACCCCGGGGTCCCCAGGGCCCACTGTGCTGGGGCTGTTCAATACAGGCAGCTGCTTCCCATCGGTTGTGTCCACCTGGTCTTTCCCTGGCAGAGCTGGGACAGCTGCACCCCCAGGTCCCAGCTCTTTGGGGAGGGGGACAGGATGAGCTCTCACTGAAGCAGAGCAGGGACCAGCACCCACCCGTGGCAAGGGCTGGGGACAGGCTCCTGCAGCAGGCAGGGATCGGCAGGATCCGTCCGACGTGTCCGTGCAGCTCCCACACCAGGGAACTGATGCAACACAAATAGCAGCGGCCTGACTCACCCACACCCACCTGGCTGAGGAGGGACAGCCCCACGCTGCTCAGGAACACCGAAATGAACCAGGTCCTGCAAATGAACTGCTCTGGGGACACCACTGCAGCCTCAAACACCCCTCTCCCACAGGGATCAGCAGCATCCACACAAAGAGGCAGTGGGAGCACTGGCCATGTCCCACAGCAGCTCTGCAGTGTCAGGATGAGGTCCCGTCCCTGCTGCAGCCACTGTTCACCTCTCCCGTGGCAATCCTTGGGCTGGAAATCCCCAGCCAGCCCCACAGGGACAGGGACACGGCTCAGGAGGTGGAGGGTGACATCAAACAGCATCAGCTGTAGCCACCAGCTCTCCCTGCCCCTGACCACCCTGTCCCCAGAGAGGGAAGAGCTGTCTCACAGGGAACGGAACATTTCCCAGGCCACAGAAACCTTTCCCAGGCCACCACACCATGCAAATCCTCCTGACCTATTGCTCAACCCGAGGCTGTGTTTACTCCAACATATTTGTGCAATAATGTTCCCTGCTCCCAGCCTGTGGCTTCCTCAGAAGGGCTGAGCTGGCAGCTGCTCTGCCAGCAGGGCTTTGGCTCCGAGGGGCAGCCCCTGGCCTTGGGGAGTGTGGGGGTACAAGGGATATAATCCTCAGGGCCTAAGCCCTGAGGAAAGCAGGTGATAGGACTGAAAAAACACATGGCTGGAGGGCGAGTGCTGACAGCACCTGCACAGGTAGCACTGCCATCATCATCCCATTCCAGCACCATGCTGGGACAGCACCCAGCTCCTCCTCAGCACCTTCCTGTTCTCTTGGGTGCAACATTTATTTTGCAGTTACTCGCTTCCTGCAGTTCTGTCTTACAGCAAGGCTGTGTTGCAAAAGAAGTTTGGGGTACAGAGTGCAAAGCTGCTGCTGTGTTTGGGACACCTCTTCCTCTCTGCTGCAAGAGCAGCAGCCTCAGCATTGGGAAAACACAGTGGGTTGATCCTGAACCTGCTCCCGTGTATGGGAGCCCCAGGTGGGTGACATCAACATATCCCCCATGAGGGCACACCCACGTGTGCTCCTGTTACACACCAGCCTCTTTCCCATGGCCTGCACAGGAACCTTGGGTCAGATTCCTGCCTCTGGAAATGCCTTAAAAAGTTAGAACCAAGCTAGCCACATCCTGGAAATCCCCTGATGGGAGGAACCAGTTGGGTTCAGGTGGAAGTCCAGTGAGCAAGGGCAGCACAGGCCGTGGTGCCAGGGAGAGGTGAGTGAGTCCCAGGGAGTGGGCTGGGCTGCTCAGAGGAGCTGCCTCCCCCCGAGCTCAACAGCACACAGCCCACAGGATGAGGGCTGGGAACCCCCTGAGCACAGGAAACCTTCAACAGGCCCATGTGTGACCTCCTTTCCCCCAACAGCCCCATGAGCTGACAAGCAGATCTGACCCATTTTGGCTGGCCCAGGACACAAAGCACACACCCAGCAGACATGGCAGGCTCTCCCCAAAACATGAGAGGAAATCCTGCACTGACAGCCCAGGGAGGCTGCCCGTGTGTGCAGGTGGGCAACTCCACCAACTCACTGCAGACTGTGCAAGGTGGGGAAAATGCGCAGCAGCAGCAGTTCCAATTAGCATTCCAATTTCCCCAGCTCCTGGTGAGCAGGCCCTGGGGGAGGCAATGCTTACCCAGAACACATGGGATGCTCTGGGGGCAGGTTTGCTCCCACAGAACCTTGTGTGACAGGAGAGAATTCTGAGAGCAGCAGTGGGATGGTAGCTGGGTGGGCCAGCTGCCCCAGCAGCACAGGCACCAGCTTGTGGGAACAGCTTTGACCAGATCTGACCCTCCCAAACTGCTCCAATAATGAACCTCTGCACTTCTGCACCGATTCCTGTCATTGTGTCAGATCAGCTTTGAGGGAAGCAAAAATAAACATCCCCCTACCCCTGCACATCCTGCAAAACTAGAATTACCTATTAAGGTCTTTTACAGGAAAAGCAGCCTTAACACCCTGCAGCATTTTTCAGCTACAGACCCCACCAAGGACAGGAGCAAACTCCACACCTGGTTAAAGGTGTGCTCAGATCTGCAACACTCCACTCCATCTCCCCACCACACACGCCCAGAGCCACGTGAGCTCTGTCACTGCAGTGATGTCCCCAGGGAGTTCCTCTGCCACAGCCAATATCAGACCTTGCAGACTGTGAAGTTCCAGGTTTGTTTTGAAATGCAGCTGGCCCTGGGAGCACTTGCCTCCCTCGTTTCTGATTAACTACAGAGTCATGGCCCTGTGGTAAAGGAAGAGCCCAAGTTTGAATACAGACCATAAAGTTATTTAACTGGTGAGATAAGAATGTGCTGTGCTGCACTGGAGCAGGTGGGAGGGGAAGATCCTTACACAGCAATGTGAGCACTGATATTCCTGCTGCACTTCCAGTCCATAACAAACCTTCAGAGCAAAGTCTGGACAGTTTGCATATTCCACACTCAACAGCTGACATGGATGTGCCATAACTGAATAAAATATGTATTTGTTTCCATACTGTACTATGGAATTGTCCCTTAAAACTGAACACAGCTCACGCTGATTTCAAAAGTCCCATGAGTGTTCTGTGCTTTAGCACCCAAGACACCCACAACTCCTCTGGTTCCACCTTCCCCTGCCAGTGCCTGCCCCAGGCACTGAGAAACCCCAGTGCTGCCAAACAAACAGCAAACGCTGCTCATGCTCTTATCTGCCACAGCACTTGGATGTTTTGGTCTCGCTGTATCAATTAACAGCCCGTCAATAACAAGCCCTCAGACTGCATATGGAGATCGAAGCCTGTCAGGGGAACCCAGGGGAGAAGGATAATTTCTGACTTTTCATGGAATGCCAGCCAAAATGTTGAATGTTCCTCCAAAAAGCCACCAGAGACCAAATATGCCAACTCAGCAGTTTTTATTTATATAACACAGTTCTTCCTTTGCCATGGCTGTCACATGGCCACTCGGTACGTGACTATACTGCACAGTGATACAGAAAATTCAGCAAGTGTCAGCTGGGGAGTACAAAATGTTAATCTTCTGATTGCAAGAGAAGCAGCAGATACCAGCATTCCACCAGAAACACAAACCCACCTCGCCCAGTAACACATGGCTGAGGCAAGAACAGCACTGAGTAAAACTGCAAGCAGCAAAGTGCTGGACAATAACATTTAAAAACCATTTTTCCTGTAATTTACAAATATGCAAAGTATCAGGTTACTTAAAATTAAGAAGCATTTTGCTTACTAACATGAAACATTACTAATTTGTAATGTATCATTATTAACCAGGTATACAGGTTTCTGTGTCCCTGTGGTCTCGTGGCACATGGTGCCAGTCTGGGCAGGTCACTCCTCGGACATAAGAGGGAAGAGCAGGAATGGACAACACTGTTCCCAGGAGGGTTCCAGGACCAGCTGCATTCCACTCTCCACTTCCTAATTTGCCACTCAACGACCTTGGTTTAACCACAGAAGGGCGTATTGTATTTAGAAAACAACAACACACACAGATACAATGTGTATCAACAAATCAACTGCTTCTGGCCTGCAAGTGCCAGGAACATCTCTGCATCCCAAGCACAGCGAAATTCCAGGACCAGAACCAATTACTACAGCAACTGGGTTTGCATGTTTAAAATCTCTTACAGTATCTACAGTAGAAAACATCTTACAGAGTAAGAGGAAATGAAACAGGAACAGTCTTGCCAAATAACTCTTATTCTACAATTCTGGATGCTGCTCTAGCTGGGCACAGCCAAAGGGGATGGGGGAACATTGGTGAGGAAGATGAAGCAACAGCTTTACAGAAAGAAATATTAAGGACTCCTCAGGGAGGGCCCTGGCAGCAGTCCAGATGTGACTACAGCTGTTCTATTGCTGTCTGAAGGCAAAAGGCACATCATAAACCCTCATCAGCACTGCACAGACCCAGCCTGGGCCAGGGACCAGCAAGGTGACTGTCCCAGAGCAGCACCCACAGGGTGCTCAGGTCACCCCCCTGCTCTGACACTGCAGTTGTCAGCACATGCAGCTCTGGAGCAGTGTCTGCCACTCCTCCTGAGTCAGGATTGAGCTCCTGGCTCCTGGTCTCCAGGAGCTGAGCAGCTCACTAAGCACTTGTGGGAGAATTACCTCACCTCAGGAAGGAAAGCTGAGGTGGGAGCGTTGTGGAAAGCATCAAAGAAGTGCACCAGTAAGACCAAATTAAAGTCAGCTAAACCCATCTTTAGACTGGATTTACAACCCAACATTTGCCACAGATCCACATGGTGGGATTTAGGAAAGAGGCTTAGTGAGGAGCTAAGAACAGTTTTGACAATGCATTTGGGTCTTCACAAACCAGCCACAGGCCACTGCAAAGGCAGCATCCCCTTTTCTCTTAGAGCCTCCCCGAGTTTTCCCTCTTAGCTCCATAGTGCTCAAAGCCATCTCAAAACTGAAGGTAATGGGAGGGGCAAGGACACATCCAGTTCTGGACAACTGCAGTAATTCAGAGTGTGCCAGATCCTCATGAACCCCAAATGAACAGTCCTGCTCTGGAGCTGCAGCCTCTGCTCCCACTCAGCAGCCCCTGGGGAAGATGGGGCCCCAGGTGCTCTCACCTCTCCAAAGGGCACACGGTCACAGCCAGAGCAGAATTTGCTGTGAGCGCCCCACACC